CTTCAATCATGGTATAGTCGATGTGCCACAAGTTGAAATTTCATGGAACGACACTCCGCTGTTTCGATTTTGTGCGGTAGCGCGCATCTGGCGAATTTGCCAACTTCGGCCACGCTAATTTTTTTTTTGGTTTTCATTCTAATTTCGATCGTTTTTTTTATTGTTTTATTTCTTTAAAATGTAATATTATCGTTGAAAAGGATTGCGTTGTACAAATGTAAAAGAAAGAACACAGTAAATTTCATGATGTTTCTCGAAAAAAGCGATTAAAAAAAAGTTTGAAAAACTTCATGTATTCTTCAATCGCTTTGATATTGTTTTTTTCTCGTTTCTCAAAAAAAGTTTTTCAAAGACAAAAAGGATTTGCGGGTGAAACGCCACAATATTCTACAATAGTTTCTGTGTTTTTTTAAAGCCATGTTTTTAATGTTTTCATCGTTTTTCTGTTTGCAGTCGTTAATTGTTTTTTTCAGAAAGTGAGCGCCTTATAAAAATGAAGATGTGAACTTCCATGAGCACATGCACCATAATTTGAAGAAAGGTTTTTCGTTCCTTTTTTTAAATGGAGCTTTAGATAAATCGTATTGCTGAACTATGCGTCAGAAATGGGGCGTGAACAGTGGGCACATGGAATAGTGGAAACGATGTGCTGAACGAAATGTCCAGAAAACTAATAATTTTTTTCCTTTGAACTTATGTATCTGTTTTTTTAAATAAAAAAATTCGTCAATGTAGAAACATTCAATTTTTTTAAAAATCATTCACTGTGTATTTTATTTCTGATTGGGATATTTTTTTACATGATTTGAAATGAAAAAAAGAAATGTCGATAAAGGCTCAATGAAGGTTAAATAACAGAATATATTGAACAAAACCAAAAATCATCTCATGAAAAACTTTCAAATATTATAAACGCATTTTTTCGCTTAAAATTCGAAAATAACTCTACTTTATTTTCATCAATGAAACAGTCTATCCTCTAGAAAAAGATAATTATGATTTTGGCACGAAGAAAACTATTACAACATAATTAAAATAATGAAAATTTCGAATAAAACAAAAAAATGGAAAGCGCGACCGAAATTCGCAAAGGCAAGGCGCTTTCACGGCCACGGCCACCCAACGGAGTGTCGTTCCATGAAATTTCAAGTCGTGGCACATCGACTATATATATCATTAAAACACTTTTTTCCCCAAGGATACATCTTCCGTGTAATAATCTGAGTCACCGTATAATATGAATGAAAATCTTCATGACAACGAAATTTTCTCAAACATCTATTTACAAAAAATTTCTTTGGAAAAATTTATGCCTTCCGTTTTTTGTCCGGAAGATTCTAAACTTTTGTCAGTAATTTGAAATAAATGCTAAGTTTAGAAAAAAAAAGGATAGGATTGCCTAATTCAAACTATACTCTCACATCTCGAGAAAAACTTGGAATCCGCCAATTGGATTCGATTAAGTTACAAAGAAGTTCTTGGCCTCCAAAGATGGAGGTGAGAGAAGGAAAGAGAAGTGATTAGCTGTTTTTTGGAGTAGTTCTATTCGGGGCGGCTATCGGATGAGATTCGATTAGTCGCAAAGGCTTGCAGAAACACTTTTTTGCTAGAAGAAGTTGAGTGGGAAGTAAAAAAGAAAGGAAAATGGTCGGTCAGAAGGGCAGATTCGACACACACACAAAATATTCATTGAACAGACTTGCGCACACGCTTCAGCGCCGTGCATAATAACGGCGAGCTGGGGGAGCCGGAATTAGCCAAGGTGTGCAAATGCGAATCATTGCTCAATCAGGTGTGGCTGCGGCTCGCAACAATGTCCTTCTGATGACTGCCGCCGACGCCTCACACCGGAATGATGAAGGTCTATCGCGAAAATCGAATTTCAAAGCAGTTTATGATGAACTGCTCGGGCCTCGACCGGTTTGTCAGGCTATCGCCCTCACCTCCGGCCTTTTCCCAAGTCCGAGCCTGCCTTAGAGAGGCCTCTCTCAAAACGGCCGGTCAGGCGCACATTTTTTTTTCAAGCTCCTCATGACAGAAATCACATTTTTTGTTCGTGTTTCGCTCAAATTTCAACAGATTGAAAAAAACTTTTTGGCCAATTTCTGAGTAAGGATGAAATTTTTTTTTTGATCGAAATTTTCATTTGAGGCCTAGCCTCGTCCAAGCCCGCGCGAGTCTATTTAGGAAATAAAAACCTGGGCCGGCCCAGACTGCTTAGCCTGAAGTTTGAGCTTGAGCATCGGTAACGTAAACCGCAAGCACCCCTGAAAATTCTGAGCTTTTAAGTGAAAACTTGAGTGCTGACTTCGCTAAAGCGACCGCTAAAATGCTCAAAAATCATCCGGGGCGCGTCTGGTTAGCGTTACCGAGGTCCTAGTGCTTTAACCGTTTCTAATAGTGATAAAAGGGTAAGGACTCAATCTTAAATACCTAGTATCGCTCGAATTTGAGCAAAATCAACTTTTTTTTGAACTTTCCTTCTTCTTCAAAATGTTCAAATTTCCCAGAATCCGTCTTCAGATCTTCCTCTTTGCTTCAAGGACTTTACAATACTACAGAGGTGGAGAATTGGGAAGGCAGTCCTTGGCTTGGCGGCCAAGCCAAGCCAAAAAGCCAAACGATAGAAATGAGCCATTAATTTACGTGGTCTTTGGCAACTAGGTCAAGTACGTGGCGATAACGCCCTGAACTAATCATTATCAATTTTGTAAATTTTGAATTGTTTTTCGCAACTTCGTGTTAACGTTTTTAATCTACTGTAACAGTTTTTTTCAGCAGGGAATTGTCACTGAAACGGGTCAAAAGGCTACCTTTTTCAATCTCACTAGAGAACTATTTCGACAAAAAAATTTTGAGATGCTATGAAATTGATGCAAAAGTATTTCTCTTGATTCATTTGGTTTCCAAAAAAGTCAAATGACTGAAAAATCCTATTACGCCAGGCCACCTCGTTAAGAGTGGAAGGCTTACAGTTCTCTACCTGGATTTTTCCGGTGGTATGAAAAAAAAACCAGCAAATTTTCGAAATGCGACTTTTTCCGATTTGTTCAAATCGCTAAGGAACTTTCCGACGGCCACCTTTCCGACGGACCACTTCCCGACTTTTTTCCCTTTTATTTTTCTGTTCCTAAAACATTTTTTTGTCTACTTTTTTGTGTTTTAATCATGAATCAACTACCTACTTTATATGGGAGGATTCAAAACGAAGAGTTTATTTAGCAAAAAAGTTGAAAAGGATTAGTCGGAAAGTTCTTCGTCGGAAAGCTCCCTAGCAATATGAAAAAATCAGAAAAGTCGCCGTTCGAGTTTTCGCTGATCTTTTTTTCATACCACCATTTTTTCGTGTTTTTTTGTTTTTGTAAAAAAGTTTCATACATCGCTCAAAACAAGCGCTTCTAGATGCTCACTAAGAATAACTGCCGAGATAAACGCGAGACGCTGGCGGTACATTGACGAGCTCGCAAACATCTCGCTTTTTTTCTCGCGCCGGTCTCGCATTTTTCTGGGCGCCAGCTCGCACTTTTCTAGGCGCGAGCTCGCATTTCTCTCGCAATTTGAAAATTTCCGAAATGCAAGATAAATGCGAGATGGCGCCGAGAAAAATGCGAGGTCGCGCCGAGAGAAATGCTGGATCGCGCCTAGAAAAAAGCGACATTTTTGCGAGTTAGTCAATGTACCGCCATCGAGCTCGCGTTTATCTCGTCAGTTATTCTTAGTGCTAGGGCGATATCGCCATACAAATGACCGTCGCGCCACGCTGACTTTTGAAAAAGTCATTTCTGCCTTTTGGGCTTGGCAGGCAGGGCGGCCAGAGGGCAGCCATCCTCCACCTCTGCAATACTATAAAAACACTTCTCGGCGTATTTTTGCAGCCTATATAACCAATTCACATGCA